AACTGAGATCAACCTGACAAAGAAGAAGAAAGGGGAACAACTAAACTAAGGCCATTATTCTCAAAACGCCTGCCCAAGGGCCTTGAGATCAGGATGGACCAATGCTACAACCGAGGACGACTCATTTTGAAAAATTATACGATTGCACTTCTTCCAAAGGTGCCAACCCACATAAACCACCGCCAAAACGTGATGTCTTCGCCAGGATTCTTTATAGCTCTGGAAGATTTTCACCACCAACTATTGACAGTGTTTGTATTCAAGGCGATCCCCGATACTCTCAACAGTGATAAAGCAAACATAAACAAACTTCCTTCACAAAAGGGCAATGAAGCATGAATTGAGCTGCCGATTCAATCACCTTTCCAGCCCTCACAGTCACACAACTTCTTCAGATTGTTATTCTTGATATTGCCAATGAAATGAACGCTATATGCTGACCCAGCGGAGTATTGCGCGGTAGACTTCAGCTTGCAAGAGATAGTATCTGGGCTGTTAACTAACTGAATGGTATCTGGGCTGTGAACTAACTGAATGTTCTGCAGCATAGTTCATGGGCACCTAGCCCAGTGGCAAGAGCACGGCTGTGTGCCTTGGCAGACCCAAGTTCGAATCCTGTGGGCAGAATTTATTTCGGGTATTTAAAACTTGGTGTCTCACACCTTCCTTCTTAATAATAATGCCGCGGGGCTCCTCCCCTGTTGTTCTATTTTTTTCTTCTTCTGCAGCATAGCCCAAATCTGAATAAAACAATCCATTTGAGTTTCGGAATTAATTCTATGAAGGCCTCTCATCCACTTCTCCTCCATAATCCCCTCTCTAACAGAAAAGTTCTTCCGAGCTGCCAGCATATAAAGATCAGGCCAAAATCTTTGAGAGCAGTTTGCTAAAAAAAAATTGTTTTTCTTCGAGTGCACCAACTTGTAGCCACCAGAATGAAGCCTGCACACCATTTTTAATCTCAATGTTGGTGCACACAGCAAAGAGCTGCTGATCAGTCTCATTGCAGGGAACAGCTTACCCTTCCAAGGTCGATCCTCCTTGTCCCAACCATGTCAGACGCAATGCCCGGCTAAAGAAATCTAGGTTTTTGACACCCACACCACCACAAGATTTAGGAGAACACACTTTTTTCCAGTTAACCAAACATTTTACTCCATTAGCATTCTCATCCGCACACCAAAGGAAACTTCTCCTGATCTTGTCATTCTTCTTGATGATCCATTTAGAGGGAGGAAAAGCAGTGAAAATTAATAAGTGGTGAGGGCAGAAAGCACTGAATTGATGAGCTCCAAAGGTTCCTCCCTAGACATGAGCTTTCCTTTCCAGAGCTTTAACCTTCCACAGAATTCGTCCAATAAAGGGTGGCAATCAATCTTCCTAGGATTTCTGTAACCAAGGGGAAGCCCAGGGTACTTGCATGACAGAGAGCCCATCTGACCTCCAAATCCAAACCATGCCAGCTAATTGGGTAAGCCACACATTTACCAAGGTCCACCTTCAAGTCTGAACACAACTCCAAAAATTGCATGAACAATGTGCGCATGCACCATAGTGGCGAGCTGGTATTATAACCACACAGTTGTATGCAGGGTGTTGTTTCCTCTTTAGCTGGAGTCTTGGGACTAATTGAGCAACGATGCTTCCCTGTAATGACTAATGGCAGTAATTTGTTATGCCTTTTGACTTTGAGTTGATCAGTACTATCCTCTTCTTTTTAAATGCAGCTATGCCCTGGCTATGGAGTTCCAAAAGCGAGTGATTGATTCATGGCGAAACCATGGTCCCAGTGGTGCGGACGAGCTCAGGGAAGCCATTCGTCTCTACGAGCAGATCAAGATAAAGGCCCTAGCATTCATGTCACCTGGTGTTGAAGCAATTGCGTTGCCTGAACCTCAGGAACAGGAAGTCGATTCTGATCCGGCGAAAATTGCACAACAGTAATTAGGAACTTCGCGTCGTGTACCCTTTTCTTTCCTCTATTTTGATGCCAGTTTGCTGTTCTGCAGTAGAAGAAATTTTGGCTGTAAATTTAGTGCAGGAGGTAGCCTTCTGTACCATCCAGAAGATTCGACAGTCTATCTAAAGTAATCCAGACTTTATTTAGCCATGATGAAGAATAGGAACTTGGTTGAACTATTGGGTGAGGAGTTTTTCCATGCTATAGAGTATGAGTATGAAAATATCCGAGTCCCAGAAATCAACGTTTGGTGAACAGCCATTTTGCTGTGACAAGGGAGAAGCCCCTGGGCCCCTGACGATGTAACATGTAACGGCGGGCGAGATCTCGACATTTGTTGGTGTTTTAATAAGGTTTTGGTGAGACTTTGCTGCCTGTGCTAAGATCAGGATATCACAGTGAGCTCAAAGGGCCACAACTCGTGCTTTTTTCCTTTAAACTTCATGTTCTTGGAGAAGTTTCAGTTTCTTGGTCACAGTTGTTCCACCACCCCCAGCTTATTTGCCTTTTGTGTTCTGCTTCTTCACTGCTTGCCAATCTTTTTTTGTAAGAATTTGAAGAATATTTAGTATTCCTGTTTGTTCTCATCCAAGTAATACTGTAAATCAGGCAAGTGGTTGTACAGTTACAGTAGGAGCAGCTGCCCATGTTGTTCTGAAGTTCTCATGCTCTGAAGAAATATCCAGGGAGAACTGAACCTGTGACACCTTAGAATTGTCATGACAACTAATTACCCTCCATTAGAGACAATATAAAAGCTCTTCCTCTTTGATCCACTATCTTTCATGAGTCTTGCAAGCGGCAAAAAAGATGAACACACACCCCAAGCAATGTGACACAATTTGATTTGCCTAAGCCAAGTGATGATGCAACCAACTAAAATCACTACCTGCTACAATGTGCTTCATTGCTGCTGCCGCCGCTGCATTCTCCATGGAAGTGAGCGCTGCTCTTCGAGGCCGCCGCGCCGTCTTCTTGCTGCCGTGTCACTGTGTCTTCTTCTTCTCCGGTGCCGGCAGCCTGCACCTGGATGACCACCTCCTCGCTTCTCGGCGGCCGGTCCATTACCAACGGAGCTTGTTTGCCGGTGGTGCCGGTGATGGCTGCCCGGCAGAGGGGGCAGTTGGCGCAGCCGTGCAGCCAGGTGTCGATGCACTCCGCGTGGAAGACATGGAGGCAGCCCGGCAGGAGCCTCACCCTTTCCCCCTCCTGGAACTCGCCGAGGCACACGGCGCACTCGCTCGCGTCGCCGCCGGTGGCGTCGTCCTTGGCGGCCTTGCTGTACCTGAACGCCGGCAGCGCCCGGATGGCCGGCTCTCCCAGCCCGGCGCATGGCTCGTCGGGCGCGGGCCCGTGCACCACGGGGAGCTCGTGGTCGGAGGCGGTGTTGTTGCGGCGATGGCGGCGGCGGGTGAGGGAGATGACGAGGCTTCTGGGCGCGCCGGAGTCGTGGTCGGAGGTGGTGGCGTGCCACGTGAGGCAGCAGCGGATGACGAAGACGTAGTAGGTGAGGAGCAGCGCGGAGGTGGTGAGGATGCCGAGCACGGTGAGCACCAGGATGGGCAGGCTGGTGAGGCTCAGCGTCACGTGGTGCGTCAGGCGGGACGGCGTCGCCGGAGAAGACGATGAAGACGACGAGTAGTAGTAAGGTGTGAATGGTGTCTGTGGCGGCGGGAACAGCAGCGCCGTCGCCGGGGCCTGCCGCTGCGGCACCGGGAAGACGGGACCCCTGCCTGTTGCTCCTTCTACATCCATGGATGCTTCAACTCAGAAAGAAGTGATCCCGATGAGTGGATGATGGAAGGTTGATTCGGTGCTGGCGATGTGGATGCGACATATGTAGTGGTGTGGTGGCGTAGCTCGAACTTGGAAGTAATGGCGGCGATGTGGCCAGGTGGTAGGAGGGAAGAAAGAGGACAAGGACGGGTAGGAGAGAAACAAAATGCAGTGAGGTGGAGCAAGGGACAAGAAGAATTTTCAGCAAGTCCCATCGCTTCCATCCAGCCGTTGGACCGAACTTTGGTGCATCTAGAAGCTCATTTCGTTTTCGTCCTGGGTTTGGTTGCTTTTGGTCATGTCTGCTGCCACGTTTTACACTGAATTGCTGCTCGAAAATGATTGCACGCAAAAATTTCGTAAGGAAACGACGAATTCCATGCCTTTATTTTTTCCGTTCAACGCATGTAATGTCATATCAGTAGGAAGAAAGATAAATACAGCACGAATTGAGACTGAAACGAGTGAACAAGCACACTAAAATCTTACCTGTTTCTGGTGGCGTCCAAGGTCCAACCAGCTTAGTAAACTGGAGGCTGCTGATGATGGGGAGGAGGAGGAACAAGACACTCAGCTCTTACCAGAGGAGTTGGTCGACAAAGTCTCTTCTGTCAAGTGGTCTCTCTCACACAAAAAGTGCAAGTGTGGAAAATCTGCTCCTGTACCTGAAGCCAAGTGAACTGAGATCCCATGCCTTGCCAAAGGCAGGTCACGGAGTGCTTGCCTCCCTACATCCATCGTCCAAATCAGACCTACGACCAGCAGCAGTTCACAGCCAGCCAAGCGACCAACATGTAGACAGGGGAAACCGAGGAAACAGAGGCGCTCCGGTTCGATTTCAGAGTCCGGTTTCTTCAGGCAGGGAACATAGCAGAACATCGGTTCAGTTAACAATACATCAGCAGTTCCGCAAAACAGCAACATTACAATGATGTAAACAACACTGCCACAATACAGTTCAGTTTAGCAAACAGGAAATATCAAGCAAAAAGGAAAACCTGAGCCATGAGCCATAATTATGTACTCCCTCTGTAAACTAATATAAGACCTTTTAGATTACAGAGGTAGTAGCTCTCAACACTTCAATGCTACCACCCGTGCACTTTTAGATTACAGAGGTAGTACCTCTCAAACAATATTCAGTTAACAGGTTCAGGAAAACAACAACATAAAGTTGAACTCAATACAAAGTCTTTTGTAGGTCTGAACAAACTAATTTTGTGAAGCACTTAACACTGAAATTTGTTCTTACATAATCATCCAAGTACATAGATTTGGCCCTTTTACTTGTAGACTTCGGCCACAAAAGACTATAGTTAGCCCTCGAATCCAAAAATACTATAGTCAACTTTGTCCAAAATACTAGTCAACACTACCCAAAATACTACTGTATCTAACTAGCTAGTATAGCCCATTAGAGCATCTGCAGCCGGACTTTGCCAAATCTAGCCCCTCAAACGTCCACCATGTGTAAAATCACAACCATGTCTGAACCATCCTGCATCACCGCCGCCGCGTCCCTCTCTCGATGCCTGCGCCGCCGCAACTTGCGGGCAACATTCTCCGCCTTGCAAGTCGCAGCCGACGAATTGATGCCGCCGACGGACGAGGCGGATCGCGTCTCCATCGTGGCGGTGTGGGTCGGGCTGGACAACATCTCCGGCGTTGGATAGGGACCGGAGGTGAGGATTGAGAGCAAGGGTGGAGGATGCCGAGGGTCCGGGCGCGGGAATGGTTGAGGGCGGCGGGAGGAGGAGGAAGGGTTTGGTGGATTTGGTGCAATTTGGGGTGGGGTCGGGCTGTCGGGTCCGACGTGGCGGGCGTGCCCGGGCGCCCCCATATCCGCCCCATATTTGGGCTGGATATGAGGGGTGCCGGTCAGCGCGCGCGTTTGAGGCCCGTTTAAGGAGTCCGTCTGGGTCAAAAAATCATGATCGGGCAGTGATCGGGCGGCTCGTCCGGGCGTATGAGGCAGTTTTGAGAGGTTCAGTTGTACATGCTCTAAATAGGCCAGGACTCCAGTGCCCTTCTCCCATGCCTCATTTCTTCTCTGTTTTCCTCCCTCGACCATACCACACAACATATTTCTCTTTTATGCATTTCTTTTACGCGTTTCTTGCTGTAACTTTCTGCATCATATCATAGAAACTAGTTAATCCTCTCGTCTTAAAATCAAGGGGTACTGGTTTCTATTTTTAATGATGCATGAAGAACATATCAGATCAGGACCTTCGTTTTCTTTCAGATTTGTGACCTCTTTTGTGTTGGATTTTGATCAGAATGCTTTTGTTGATCTATTTTCTTCCTGATTTGTTTAATTTGCAGGTTGTTTTGTAAACTATGGCGCAACGTTAGGGCCCTGTTTGGAACAAAGAAAATTGTACTCCTCCGATCCAAAATAAGTGTCACGGTTTTAAATTATGGTTGGATTAGAGGGGGTAGGAATTTTGGAGGATTGAATTCCTACAGGAAAAATATATACATCCTAAGGTGCTCTTTGGAACAAGGAATGGCTCACCAAGGTTCCTTGGAAGTTCGTATGGAAGGGCGATCCATACGAATTTTGGAAGAAAAGAAACATGAGGTAAGGCCTCGTGTGTTTAGATTCCTCCTTATGTCTAGAATTCTTGTGTTTTCTCTTTGTTGTATCCAAACGGTGGTGTTGGACTATTCCCGTGTTTAGATTCCCGGACAAATTCAGGTTACATGATATCTTAATTCATGTATTTTACATATTCATATTCGTATGTTTTGGGTTCATGCATTTCAAACAGGCCCTAGATCTACCCCTTTTGATTGCACACATTATATTAATCAATTAAACATACTACACCTCCATACATACATGAAAGGCGATATGCGCACCACACTGAGAAAAGAGGCAGAGCACCAATAAATCAAAATCCAGGCCAATGCCCAAAATCCAGGCCAATGCCAAACACAGTCCCGCAGAATGTGCTTGAGGCGTGTTGGACGAGGACGTACCCCACTCCGACCTGGATTCAGATGTGACGCATCCCACCGCTATTGTCGTGCCACCAACCTTGTACCACTAGTTGCTAGCGCAGCCACAAGAGGCGACAACTGCCAGACACGAAAAACATAAGGCCCGCCGCTCCGAACAGACGACAAGCAGAGGAAACCATTGGCTCAGCGGCACCATAAGGGAAAACGTCGTCATGATAAGGAAGAGGCCGAGGCCACTTTA